TGACTTCACTCGTTGGCAGACTTCGCATGCGCGAACATACTTTCGCACAAACTGATACTGGCGGGGCCAGTAAAAGTCTCGACTTACCGTGAAATATGTTTTCTCTCGGCCACGATGTCCTCCTATAGGAGCATCGTGATACTCGAACATGATCCGCAAACGCAGATCAGTATCATCTGGAATGACAACACGTGGTGTGTCACCAGAAACGGCTGTATAATACAGTAACCCGTTGCGAGTAGTGTATCGATCTGATGCAGATCGATACGCAGACGATAATCGTTTCAACGATTCTCGAAATGGCTGTGAGAGATGTGTCAACAACTTCACAATCTCACCATCTTGGGCATATGCCCGCCTCACATCATCATACAACGTTGTAGATGTTACTGAGGACGTCATAACCGCAACAGTGACTGTCTCACTGTTGGGTTTCGCGACTGTTTCAAAGTCGGGACGACGTGAGAGTGCATCAGCGACGACATTAAGTCGTCCTGGTTTGTACTCGACCGTAAAGTTGTATTCCGCAAAGAATGACAACCACCGCGCCATTCGTTGTGAAAGGTGCGGGCTGTTCACTGCCGTGCGTAATGACGCATGGTCAGTGTAAACAACGAAGGGTCTATCTCCTAATAGACAGACTCTGAACTTCGCGAGTGCATACTTCATGGCAAGGAGTTCCTTGTCATGCACTGGATAGTTCCGCTCAGCTGGTTGCAGCTGACGCGACTGATAGCAGACGACGCGTTCAACGCCTTCAAGATCGTACTGCATTAATGCACAGCCGATTGCAAAATCGCTGGCATCACAGACCACATGAAATGGCCTGTCCTGATCGTCAATTGCTAGGACTGGTGATTGTATCAAGCTCTGCTTGATACCCTCAAAGGAGCGCTGACATTCAGCGTTCCATAACCACCTCTCTTTCTTATTCAACAAACGAGAGAGATGCACAGTCATCTCGGCGTAATTGCGTGAATACTTGTGCAAATACGCCGCTAGCCCAAGGAATTTTCGAAGACCTTTGACATCAACCGGCACAGGCCAGTCGGTGATCGCCTTGATCTTTTCAGGATCAGGACGTACACCGTTCTTACCAACGATGCACCCAAGAAGTGGTATTTCGCTTGCTGCAAATATACACTTCTTGAGGTTTGCATACAATTGATGCTTTCGCATGATTGTAAGAACCTGTCGGACGTGGTACCTGTGAACCTCAACGTCCGACTTTCCATCCATAGCTCGACTATGGATGAATACGTCATCGAAATAACTCGGCGCGAATTCTCGTACTGGTCTTAACAGATGTGATACACATCTGTTGAACGTGGCAGGGGCATTACTGAGCCCTTGTGGCATTACTAGCCATTCCCAGAGCATGCCGCTAGGCGTGCTAACTGCGGTATAGGGTATATACCGTTCTCGCATAAGGATTTGATAGAAGCCATCCATCAAATCCATGGACGAAAAGATGGTACTCTTTGACATACCATCAATGATTACGTCCTTCCTCGGTATCGGCGTCTGAGCCGGTACCGTTGCAGCGTTCAATTTGTTGAGCGCGTGCACTATCCGCCACCCTTCCGTTGCTTTTCGCACACAGAAGGTCGGAGAGCTATGTGGGGAAGTTGATTCCCTCACATGGCCCGCAGCTAAACGATCGGCAAAGAACTTGTCGATCGCAAGTACTTGTTAACGAGGCAGTGTCCACTGCTTCATGACACAGTACTTCGAGCCTGGTTTAAGCTCTACCTCGTGTCGAATACCTTTATCCTTCGGTAATTCGCACGGAACAGTTTCAGGGAATACATCCTTGAATTCAACCAAATCTTCATAGAGAGGATTTTTCTTGAGCGATTCCCACGATTGGGAGTCATATCGCTCAATTCGTGTCTTTTCATCTAGGACACTCTCGTCCATAGATGAACTACTGAGAACTCTCTCGTTCTCAGTGAACACTGTTGCTGACCTTATGTCGGTTACACACTCGTCGTCAGCGACGAGTATGCAGATCTGCTTGACTTTGCCACTACGCAGATCACGCAAGAACCTTTTATGTTCGAGCGTTGGCAACTGAGTGATCTCCGAAGTTAACTTCGGAGGCGCAATCAGATCAAGTGTATAAGCGCCTACACTTGATCCGTTATTGACTATGACATTCAATGTCTCTGTCATTTCCTGGGGACTTATTCCCTCAGGCTTCGAAGGACTTATTCCTTCGGCTTCCCGGGGACTTATTCCCGCGGGTTTCGGGGAACTTATTTCCGCCGTATTTTTAATCTTGGGACTTATTCCCTTAACTTCCTCTAGCTGTGGTTGCGCAACCACAGCGAGATCCTCTACGAAAGACTCTCCAGTCGATCTAGGATTTTCGTTTCGCTTAACCTGAGCGATCGATTGTTTCTCTTCTAGATGTTCCCCGCTAGGGATACATCTTTGTCCCGGTCCACTCGACTTATTCGAGTGGTGGACCTTCGGCGCAGCCTGTATTTCCTCACAGCCGCCGGAACTTTGCTCCGAAGTGTAACTGTTTGGTACACTAAGGTTTTGTGCAGTCGTACTAACGACCGTACCACAAGTGAGGCCATCGCACTCACTCGTAGTACATCCACACGCTTGTGGACGCTCCAAAACGTTCATCAGATGGCCATCTGATGAACAAGCGGCAGGCATCGCTACTGTTCGGTGTTGCCAGTTTACTCGTGGTTCGTACCTTCTGAGCCACGGTATTCCAAGGATGACATCATATTTGTCATCCAAATCCAATACGATAAAGTCATCGTCATATTGGGTATCTTCTAGCGTATAGTGGATCTTCACTATACGCTTCATGACGGTTACAGATGCGCCTGTCGCAAGACGTACCGTCATCCTCGTAGGAGGTGTGTCACATTCACTGAATTTAAAGTGACCATCTTCTAGCGATTGGCGTCGCACAAAATTGTTGGACGCCCCACAATCGACTAGAGCTCGAAGGGACAACTTATTCGTCACTTCGAGTTTCAAGGTAATGAGTGAGACCTTATTACCTAGAGCAGCAACGCACAACGTCTGTGTGTTGGGAGCAACCTTCATCAATAGGCCTACACATTCTCTTGACGTTGCTCATTAGTAGGGTGCTCCGCACCTACTGATCCTATCCGTTTTTTGAGGGTCCATCCCGTTGTTGCGTCTTTGCACCAACTGCGGACCCTCGTCCCTGCCCCTTTCTCATGGGTGGACGGTCACTACGCCCAGTGTCGCGAGACACTGGACGAGGGGCACTACACTCGTAAGCGTAGTGTCCTGTCTTTTGACATCTGTTGCATCTCTGCAACTTCTTGTAGCCTGTAGAGCGAGCCTTCTCGCTCTCTACATAACAGAGTTCCATCGGCTCTGGACCTCCGTTGTCATATCGTCTCGGTTGACGATATGATGTCAAGCTGGCGCGAGCCTGTCTCAGACTGAAGTCTTCCTGTTCCGCAATAAAAATGGCTTGTTCTAGTGAATCTAGTTCAAGCCGGAACAGGTGAGTCTTGACGGGACCACCCGCAAGACCCTGCATGAACACCGAAACCAACGTGTGTTCATCCACCGGATTGGAACTTATACAACTCGTGAAATGTCGTATATGTTGGGCGTAAGCGTGCACATCACGCTTACCCTGTTTGAGCTTCAAGAGTTCGTTTCGAGCTCTGAACTCAGCTCTAGGCGGTTCAAACGTTTGTCTGAGCCGCGCCATGAATACTTCCAACGACCCAAACGCATATGGGTCGTGCAACTTGAGCCCCAGTGCCCAAGTCTTGGCACGTCCTGCCAGATTTGATTGGGCAAATGCAACTTGCATATCCCCGTCGTCGATGCGACGCGCCCTTATGGCGTCATCCAATTCGACGAACCATCTCAAGAGGGAGTCTTCATCGACCCCCCTATATTTGGAGATGTCAATCTTCAAAGTCTCGGGTCGACGCGAGTGCATCGACCCGCCAGCAGCAGCCTGCTGCTGTCTCAACAGTTCAGGCTGTTGAACACCCTGTTCTCTCAACAACTCTGCTTGTTGAGAGCCTTGTTGGTGAAGCAAGGCTACTTTCTCGCGTTCTGCGTCAAGTTCATTTTGAATGAACTTGGCGATAGTAGCATGTTGGGCATCTCTATTGAGAGCCTCTAGCATGACGCTAACAGCATGGATGCACATGGTCGAACCCATTCGTTCAACCGCATCCCATTCGACATCGCTCAAATGGGAGTAGCCGTCACGCGTAGCGTGAAAGCTTTGGTCATCTTCATCATCCAACATATTCATGTTGGATGTGAACGCGGTCCTTGGACGGACTACGAAGTGCTACCAGGTGTAACGGGGCACCCTGAAGCTTGTACTGGTGACAGTACAAGCTACTTATTCTGATGACAGAATAAGGCGGTGCCTCGTAACTTCACGTACACCCGTACGTGCAGAGGAAGACGGTAAGAAGAAGCGAGTACTTGGTTAAAGTAAAAAGTAGAACTGTATTTATAATAGTTAATGTCTGCAATAAATCACTATTTATCTTCATCTAACTATGTCTAAATACAAATGTGTAAATCAGTTATCTGCTCACCACTCATTGCGTGCGTCTGTCGTGGCGCGTCTTCGTTGGTTGATATAATGGCCTATATCAACCAATTAGGAACTACTCGTAAGTGCTACAGAATATTTGTCCTTATGACAATATTCTGAGAATATAACTCTTATAGTTATATTCTATTAACAATTTCTTAAAAATTTGTTTGTAACGATTCACCCCGTTACACCTCGCATAGTCTGCGCAATACGAGGATTTTGCACGTGGCGATACCACTGTTTCCAGGACATAATGCGCTTCTTTTTCTCTGAATGTGTTGTATCGCCATCCCCATACTGACGCTAGATCACAACCAAATTTGCCTACTACTCCGTAGGGATTTGGAGGAGAATCCGGTTTAGTCGTTACTAGGCCGTCTAGAGAACAACGTTCACCAGCTCACGGGGAGACCCGGTCAGCATGGAACTTGCCTCAGTTGATGCTGAGGTCGGGGAAGCGCTGAAGGACCCACACCCTCCGGATCCCGGAGGGGTGGGCCAGTCTGCAGCTCTCACAGGACAGCGGGTGGAGGAAGAGGGGTCCCAACCCTCCCACGATCAACCTCAGTGTGGACCACACACTCATGCTCGGGCCACCCGATTTGAGAATGGAGGGGGCGGGACCCAGCCAGGCATAACGTTACGTGCGACGGGGAAGGGCAGTTGGGGGCGGGATTTCGGCCTGGAGCGGGCAGGACGTATGGGCGGGGGCGAATGTGTGGATGGATCTAGTCCGGACCAATATGGGTCATCCCCCACTTCTTCGTCGAGGGCTGCAGGTGCGCCCACTCCGTCGGAGCGCTTGCAGCGTTCAGCAAGCGTCGCTTCATCTACCAGCGATTCCGATAATGCACGGGGCAGGGCGGCAGATGTGGTTCCGGAGGGGAGGTTGGACCACTCTTTGCACTCCCCCGCCCCGACTGGTACGGATCCAGTTCTTGGAGAAACTCAGCGGGGGCGGCCGGTTCCGAATGAGTATTCTGCAGAAGTAAAGGTTCAGCCTCCTCCCACTATGAGCGCTGAAGAGATGTTTCGGGCTGTCACGACAGAGTTACGAGCCTCGCCGGAGGCGGAGCAACGTGATTCCTGAAAGGCGACCGTAGTGGATTTATTTGCTGACGTGTTCGAGTCTGTAAAGGTCAATTCGGATCGTGTCCGCCGGCTAAGAAACGCTATCCGATACTGAAGGGAGTGGAGCCAGCGCTTCTCCTCAGTTATTTTAAGCAAGTGAGTGTCGTGGATAGCTGTACCTTCGAGCAATGGTGCGGGTACGCGCGGACAATAAGTCGAGACTTGTATAATACGACGTGGTCGCTGTCGACCATTTTAGTGAGCATGACCAGTAAGGTCAAATGGGCACGTAAACCTGTTATGAACCAATGGGCTGCAACGGTAGCCGGGCGGGCTGCACCAGCCATATCGGCGAGACTCTCCCTGCTCGAGAACATTACCAGCAGTATATGTTCAATCCGGAAAAGTATGCCGCGGCTACCATTGCTCGGCTCCGTTCACTGTGTGAAGCGCAGGACACGCGCTCCACGGGTACCCGGCTTCGGGATGGTACGGATGAAGAGTGGGATATCATTCAGGGACTGGCAGAGGGTCACATTGTGAGCCGCTCATGCCCACACTTTATCAAGAAAGTGTTAAATACGAAAGATCGATTGCGACTCCAGTCGACCATTCAGCTGCAAGTCGAAGGAGAGCTATCATTCTCATTGGCTGGGCAAGGAGCAATTTCATCCAGCCGACAGCATACCCAGGCACTGAAGGAAGACATACTGCTGGCGGCCGAAGGGTTGAAGGTGAATCTACAGGCACTGCACACCATGCTCAGTCAGGCGAAGACAATCGGGTACAACACGGTTCAGAAGTCGATTAACATTCACTTTTTTCAGCGATCTACGGCGACAAAATTTCAGAACACACTCGTGCCGTTCCGTCGGAAAATCTACCGCCTCCACAATCGGCACGCACCTACTTCTGGTTCAGTGTGGGATCGCCAAGTCGGAGCCGACGGTACTCGCCTCACGATGCAGACTAAGTATGTTATTCGACTCTACAATGTTACGCGCTACATGGACATTGGACGCTTTACAGCATTCTTGACGGCCCACATTAGTCCTGAATTTGATCTGGAACCTTTGGGCACGTGCACACCGGACTCTAGGACATCAACGGTGTGGCGACTGACGATCCAATTAGCAGGCTGCCCCGATTTTCTATGTGCTGTGGTGCGCCTACTATGGTTTGGTACAGTAATTGTTCTCAAACACCCCGAAGTGGGGAAGAGGCTGCAATGTTTACGGTGCGGGAACATAGGCCATACTATGGCAAGGTGTGGATTTTAGACGGAGCAGCTGCGTGGCCCCGGCAGTATTGTGGCTTCCGAGGAAGAGGTGTCGCAGCTAGAGGATCTGGCTGTTCCTTTCCGTAGCTTTGCCAAAATGCGCGACATCGCGGCCCAGCGTATACGCCTTCAAGACCAAGCAGATACGATTTCTGCACAGGCAGTCCAGCCCTCTTCTATTATGGTGCCCACGCTTGCCGTGGACCGCGTCAACTCCGACGGTCGTGATGGTCGTATCGTGGCGGCGTCCGGAATAGGTGGTCTTTCAACCGCCCAACCTGACCAGTCTGGACAAACACCACTTGCGAAGCCCAAACCTAAGCCTCGGCCACAATGGGTGACAGTCTCTATTCCTCAGGGACGGAAGGCATTTAGTGCTACGAAGACATTATCCAGCCGGCGTGCATTTTTGTCATCGCGGTATGCCGTACTGGCCGACTAACATGAGGTCGACGTCGAAGAGGACGAGGCGGTTGTTTCTGCACCTTTTTCTGCTCTCGAAGAACCGGATACGAGCGTTGCAGAAGCGCTCGCGGCCGTACGACACTCTGACAAGGCCACGTATTCTACGGTCCAGCTTCGGCTGATAATGAAAACACCACCGAAGCTTCCACTGACGCCTCAATTAGTGGCGCTAAAACAGAAGGAACGGACCGAGCTTCTAAGGAATATCGCCCAAGTGGAGGGTTACTGTGGATCGCGTGTATTGCCGCGGCTGCCAGATGGCGTTGATCTGGGGTCCGGGTCGTACGATATTATTCAACAGCAGCTGGATATTCTGCCTGTTCAGACTCCGGCGAACGGAAATTGTTTGGCTATGGTATTGGTCCAGGCGCTCGCTAACAACGGTTTGCGCCACCGCGATAAGATCCTCCTCTCCGCTACATCTAGCTTAAAGAGAGGCATCAAATACACGGGACAGATGCACATGATGGATCAATTCAGCCACCACGCCCGAGTGACCACTTTGGTGAACGTTGCCAGAGGCTGGGTGGATATGCCGAGGAGTGAAGCTACCAAACAATTTAAATGGTACCTCGAAGAATACGCGTCCAGTCTCACTGACCCGACTACAATGTTGGACCGATACTATTGGGGAGGCTGTGAGACGCTGACTATGGCAGCGAACTTCCTTCAACAAACAATCTATGTTGTTTGTCAAGCGACTGATGGGTCGCAGTGTTGGCACTGTGGGTTTTATCGGCCTAGTTCAATGACCAAGGCACGTCGGGTTATTGAAACGGGAGAGAAAATTATTCTCACCGTTCAAGAGTGTGTTGAGAAGATAAGGACAGTCATAGGTGATAGGTCAAGCCCACCACCATTAATCCTTCAGTACGAGGATGGCCACTACTCTGCCTTTGTCCACCGGCTGCCGACTTTGAAACAAGGCTACGGGGGATGAGCGCAACGTCGACCGTGGTGGTTCCTCCGGTGAAGACATGAGTGATATCGTAAGTGACAATGATGAGGAAATGAAGGAAGCAGCGGAGCCGATCGAGGCGACCGACCACTATGAAGATTTAGAGCGGAATGGGGCCGTTCAAGCCACGATTTCCGCCCCGCCGTCAACACTTCAGCAGTCACATGTACCACGCACCTCAACCAGCGCTGACCCGGCGGCTGGAAGGGGCGTTATCGGGAGTTCCACAGCTCTGGCGTTGCGGGACTCTCCACGAGCATCTCAATCGGGCGCTCCTACAACGAGGACTAACGTCTTGGCACCAGATGACCGCGAAAAGAAGGCTGTGATTTATCGAAACAAACCCACTGCTCTGGTAATAAAAAAAGGCAGCAGCAACAACGACAGGCTGCTCCTCGAAGCAGGTCCGGACAAGGTATTGCAACTCGAGAGCAGCACGACGTGGCAGGTAATGTGGCTAGATTTAGCGTCGGAATGGCCAAAGCAGTCGAAGGTCGTTTTTCCCACAGTTTACAGTTCGCCTGCGCAGTGGGTTCAAGCGGCGAAAGTGATATCGAGACTCCTTCTCCGAATGATTCAACGATTTCCGCATAAAAGTGCATTATTGACGATCTTGAGTGATGAAACCGTATAGACATGGACCGCGACCTGGCGACAAGAGTGTATGTACTCCTGTTTAATGGCTTAACGCAGCCGTACAACAGATAAAGATACTCAGATCTGGCTTGACGATTGGAAGGGGCGGACGTCACGGCGCTTAGCGGGTTCCATGCTGTCTCCTCTAATTGACAATAGTGATGACTGGCGCCGTTTGCGTGACAGGGGCTATGCCAGCGATGAATTATTACGCCGTTGCGATGTGCATCACAAGACGCAGTTAGCGCGTCACATTTTATGTGTGCTGATCCATCACGACGAAATTATAGCACTAACGGGCAGTGACGAGGAGCCTGATAACGGCGTTACGACGCGGTTGCGACGGCATTTTGCCGAGCTGAAGAGTAATAAACCGTATCGGGAGGCATACGCAGCCATGGTCGCCTCTGCGGACTGGTCGATATTAGAGACGTTTTTTGAGCAAGCGCTCGCCCAGATGAGTCCTCAGCGGACTCTTCACTACTAAGGGCATCCACCACCGTCAACGCCAAGCTCGCCGGCATCTACGGCTAGCTAGTGCCCCGGCGGACGTTGATGTCTATGGCACACACTAACGCCTCAAAGGCGGTTTTATGGGCCAAACGGTCACCCATGATGTCATTTGTCGAAGTAAGCGGGTGGTGTGTGTCGACACACAAAATGTCCGCGGTTTCAAGGACACGACTCGTGATCGGTGGATGGAGGCATGGAAAAGAGGTCCTACTAACAATATCCCCCATCGTGCGCTGTTCGCAAGAAACACATGTCGACAGCGTGGAATTAGCGGAGAAGCTTCGATATGATTGGGGGCGGCGGTAGGGGTACACTTCACGTTTTGACGGGTCCCCTCTATCTTACTGGAGTGTCGGGAATGGAAAAAGCGGAGGGGTGGCTTTTTTACTGGATCCCAGCCGTGCTTCAGATGCAACTCCTTGGCACCCAGAACTATGGACGGAACGCGCTGCAGGTTTGATGCTAGCGGGGGTCTTGTTAGTTAACATATATGCCCCTAATACCCCCCACGAGCGCGAAGAATTTTTCTCCCGGCTGCTGCACTGGCCATGGCCGTCATGCGCAGTAGTCCTGGCGGGCGACTCCAACTCTGTTCAAAGTCCAGTATTGGATCGGCTCGGGGGTCGCAGGTCCTGGCGCCCGGAAAGTGCAGCGCTTGCTGACCTCATCACCAGGTTGGGACTCACCGATGCGCGCATTCTAGCGGCACCACTCGACGATGTGGATATTCCCGACCCAACCGAATATTTTACTTACTGGACTCAACCCACAGCAAGCAGAATTGACAGGTTTTACGTTCCGCACCAGTGGACATCGAGGGTGCAATGGGTTGTGGTTTCAGCTCCTCCTGTCGACTCTGATCATCAGCAGGTTTCGCTCCTACCAACGCAGAGTATGTGGAATATTCCGATCACTAATAAGAGGCGCGTGGTCACTTACCCCATTAGATCTTCCCAAGCGACGAGAGTCAAGGCGGGTTTATTGGCGGAGATGATCAATAACGAAGTGGGGCGGTCAGTCACAGCGAGTACCTGTGACCATAGGATCACCACGTGCGTCGCGGCGATTCGGACCATCCGGAAGCAACACAAACAGCGTAGTACACGGTATGCTAACCGATTACAAGCTCAAGCACGTGCCGGACTCTGTTTCAGAAAGCAGCTTATCCAAGCCAATCAGGACTCTTTACGAGCTGGACATTTAATTGCGGCGGGGAATCGACTGGAGCGAACGACTGATCGACTGCGGTGGAATTTTAAGCGGGTCTACGACTGGGAGGCGGACCAGACGGTAACTGGCTTACGACATCTTCACGGGGTACCATTTGCCCGTCAAGCCTGTACTGCTGACCGCTTTGCGACGGAATGGCAGCCTATACTTGGGTGCAGTCATAACACAATCCCAACGAGCTCACTGGACCACGCATTTACGGCTTTTGTGCGGATACCAGCAGACCGACACATGACACAATCGGACAATTATCACCTTGTCCAACCAATTCAATTACCTGAGATGATCGCGGCTTTTGCTGGTCTTAGCAGACACAAAGCGGCGGGGCCGGATGGTCTTAATAATGATTTCTATATCGACAACCAAGCTCTGTTAGCACCGGTCATGGTAACAATTGGTAACGAAGTTCTGGCAGGTATAGACCCACCCTCTTCATTTCTGGATGGACTCATCATCCCACTTCGTAAGAAAGGTGACTCCGCCGATGCCATGGATTATCGGCCAATTTCGTTGCTACAAACAGGGTACAAGCTCTTTGCAAAAGTCTTGGCTACACGAATGCAACGCGTTCTGACGAAACCAATAGGCGATACACAGCAAGGATTCGTCCATGATCGCCACATGATGAAAACAGTGATGATGATGTTGGCAGTCTTAGCTACTGCCCAGAATGAACAAGATGTCACCGCGCAGAATAGCCGGGTAATTGTATTATTAGATTTCCGAAAGGCGTACGACACGGTCGCTCGCGATTTTCTATTTCTTGTTCTGGACCGCTTTGGGTTCTCGCCGGCCTTCGTTTCGATGATCCGCAAGCTTCATGACAACACGACAGAATGATTTCTGGTCAATGGTCAATTATCTGATTTTATGGAGCTCAACACGGGAATACGTCAGGGCTGCCCTCTCGCGCCGTTATTATTTTTATTAGCGGTGGAGGTCTTGGCACTAGCGATTACACAGGATCCCGGCCTTACGGGAGTCATGGTGCCCGGGTCGTCATCAGAGCGTCATGTTTTTTCAGCGTTTGTGGATGATTCGACTGTCTTCCTCCAGGAAGCCCGACAGCTTCCACGAGTGCTCGACCTCGTGGCTACTTTTGGGAAGTTGTCAGGTCTTACAGTACAGCCATCCAAAAGTCAAGTGATCTTCTTGAACACGGCGGTGTCAGTTACCAGCTATGAAGGTATACCTGTTTTACAATCGGGTGCCACGACTCGATACCTCGGGCACCAAGTCGGAACTGGTGATCTGGCAGACGCCAATTGGGCTGTCCGGATACGAACGGTGCAGAGGCGGCTTGCTACGGCGACCCGTCTGGCGACTAGTGTGACGTTCCGGGCGCAGATTCTGAATGTCATTCTGTTGCCTGGAATACTATACACTGCGGCAGTGTTTGACACGCCTGCTTGGGCGGACCGAGAGCTCCGTAATCTCCAGAAACAATTTCTCTGGCGTCACTCGTTATCAACGGAGACAAGTCGGCACAAAGTCACTCCGGGACTATTATACACGCCGCGAGCAGCAGGCGGCATTAAATTAATCTCGATAATAGTGGCGGTGAAAGCGCAACGCATTTAACATGCACTTCTATGGTTGACACAGCGGTCCGATCGGTACGTAGTGGCCTGTAAATATTGGGCATTTCGGGGATCTCTCTCACAAGGTGAGCCGATCATTACACCGAGAGACCCGGGGCCTTCCCAACACACGAAACAACCATATCCCATGGGCAGAATTAAGAGTCGAGTTAGGGACATGGCTTCGCCCGCAACCCTTAGATCTTTCGGTCTTAATGGACCATCAAGCCACACACATGCCGCTCTTCATCGCTCAGACGTTAGGCTGGCGAGACGGGGATCGGCTGGCAATTTCGTTGAATGCCCCGTTGCCTCCGCCGCCCTGTCCATTTCCAGCCGAAACACGACGTTTTTGGCCAACCTTCCAGTGGGCGGACAATTCCTGGATACGGGATGGTACCGGAAACAAACTGACACAGCGCAAATATGACCGAATTCGGTCATGTGTGCTGGCCGACCTGGAAATCGAGCGGACGGGACCTGGCGTGTACTCGTTTAGAGTCCCTTTGGCTCCAGGGGCGCCGGCTCATCACTCGGATCGGAAACTAATGCGCTGGGCGCTCGCGATTGTTTTCGGTAGCCCGACGTTACGCATCGCTGAGAAATGCGAGGTGCAGAGTGCAGTTACCCTCCGGCAGCAGCCGGAGCTCAGGGTGCCGTATAGCTGGTTCGTGATGGATGCCGGGACAGTGCACGGGGTGTCGACCCTATCAACGGGTCTCACACAGGGGACAATAGTCCTGCATCGGCAGCCAGACGGCTTCCACTGGACGATAGCCGAGACGTCGGTAACCTACTCGGACGGCTGGTCGGATATAAAGGTCCTCCACCAAGCTCAACGGGACAATGGCCTCGTCGTAGCGGCACATCCCGCCATCCACGGTTTCCCGTGGGTAGTTCCCTGACGCTATATCTAGTCGCCAAGCGCTTCGTCATCTGAAAAGACAACCCTACCAGCGGGTTAAAGGGGACCTTGGAAAAGGGCTCAATGGTGTTCTCCTCCGGTTACAGCAATCGGCGGAACGCAACGAAAGATACTGTGCGGCCCGCAATCAGACACCGCGAGAGTTGTGGCGCCACCGCAACGCGCGATCACCGAGTATCAAGTGTGGGTTTACTACCGAATGGCGCTGCATCAGCTCAATTGCTATAGCCCAGGTCGGGAGCTAAATAACTGCTGTCGAAAACTTTCGGTCTGTCACGGGCAGAGAAGAAGAGACTTTGGATCACATCTTTTGGGGTTGTCCAGTAGCCCAGGGTTGCTGGCAGGCACTCATTACCTACTGGACCGGATGCTCGGGGATGCCGGTCAGCGTGCAGCATTATGTGAGTTTTTGCATGTCACGAAAGTCCCCGCCGTTACATCCGATCATTTCTCGGCGGCTGCTGAGCGCGTTTGGACATTCGATGGAGGCATATGTATGTCAATGGAAGCGGATGTGGTGGGTATTCTGTTCTATATGTATCACGACGTTATGGGTGCAACGCAATCGGGTCGTTCACGAAGGGCATTCCGTCACTTTGGCGGGATGTATCCACGAATGCACAGTTTTAAGTTTTCGGCAATTAACACGCTAGCGCTGCGAGAGCGTAGACAGCTACACACCCAGGTGGCCGGGACTCGTCTGATGCAATACATTGGACTGCTCCTGAGGCCCCATCTGAGAGCACCGCACACATGGGTGAGTCACGTCCAACCACCGGATCATCCGACACCGGCGTTGCTATCCTGGCTTAGGTCTTTCCAGACGTCTTGTACACCATAATATCGTATAATAGACGGTCTGTTCCTCTCTCTCTAACAATATCAGTATTTTCTCATGGCTACTGAACAATGTTCCTCAAGGCGGAAATGAAAGGGACAGGTGATGCAAATAGATCTGAATCATTAACACTTCCCCGGATAAATGGGTGACATGACTTTCACTTTGCAACTATATTACAAGCACTGTAAACGCGAAATTTAATTACCTACCACGGCGTTTGCCACCTATCCATGGTTACAAGCACCCCCAGAGGTGCAACATGAACCGCTTATCATAGATTTTAGATAGATTCGGCTTTTGGCGTTGCAGCGGTACACCGTAAACCTACTAAGCATTTTTAAACCTAATACAAACGCCCCGGCATGCCATAAATCGGTGTTGGACTCCCTCTGGCAGTAAAGCGCTCCTTAGCAATTTCTTTCCACGCGTTCCACTATAGCCGGGTAATTTTATTATTAGATTTCCGAAAGGCGTACGACACGGTCGCTCGCGATTTTCTATTTCTTGTTCTGGACCGCTTTGGGTTCTCGCCGGCCTTCGTTTCGATGATCCGCAAGCTTCATGACAACACGACAGCACAATTTCTGGTCAATGGTCAATTATCTGAGTCCATGGAGCTCAACACGGGAATTCGTCAGGGCTGCCCTCTCGCAACGTTATTATTTTTTTTTAGCGGTGGAGGTCTTGGCACTAGCGATTACACAGGATCCCGGCCTTACGGGAGTCATGGTGCCCGGGTCGTCATCAGAGCGTCATGTTTTTTCAGCGTTTGTGGATGATTCGACGGTCTTCCTCCATGAAGCCCGACAGCTTCCACGAGTGATCGACCTCGTGGCTACTTTTGGGAAGTTGTCAGGTCTTACAGTACAGCCATCCAAAAGTCAAGTGATCTTCTTGAACACGGCGGTGTCAGTTACCAGCTATGAAGGTATACCTGTTTTACAATCGGGTGCCACGACTCGATACCTCGGGCACCAAGTCGGAACTGGTGATCTGGCAGACGCCAATTGGGCTGTCCGGATACGAACGGTGCAGAGGTGGCTTGCTACGGCGACCCGTCTGGCGACTAGTGTGACGTTCCGGGCGCAGATTCTGAATGTCATTCGGTTGCCTGGAATACTATTCACTGCGGCAGTGTTCGACACGCCTGCTTGGGCGGACCGAGAGCTCCGTAATCTCCAGAAACAATTTCTCTGGCGTCACTCGTTGTCAACGGAATTAAGTCGGCACAAAGTCAATCCGGGACTATTATACACGCCGCAAGCAGCGGGCGGCATTGGATTAATCTCGATTCCAGTGGCGGTGAAAGCGCAACGCATTAAACATGCACTTCTGTGGTTGACACAGCGGTCCGATCGGTACGCAGTGGCCTGGAAATATTGGGCATTTCAGGGATCTCTCTCACAAGGTGAGCCGATCATTACACCGAGAGACCCCGGGCCTTCCCAACACACGAAACACCATATCCCATGGACTGAATTAAGGGTCGAGTTAGGGACATGGCTTCGCCCGCAACCCTTAGATCTTTCGGTCCTAATGGACCATCATGCCACACAAATGCCACTCCTCATCGCTCAGACGTTAGGCTGGCGAGACGGGGATCGGCTGACAATTTCGTTGAATGCCCCGTTGCCTCCGCCACCCTGTCCATTTCCAGCCGAAACACGACGTTTTTGGCCAACCTTCCAGTGGGCGGACAACCCCTGGATACGGGATGGTACCGGAAACAAACTGACACAGCGCAAATATGATCGAATTCGGTCATGTGCGCTGGCCGACTTGTAAATTGAGCGGACGGGACCTGGCGTAAACTCGTTTAGAGTCCCTTTGTCTCCAGGGGCGCCGGCTCATCACTCGGATCGGAAACTAATGCGCTGGGCGCTCGCGATTGTTTTCGGTAGCCCGACGTTACGCATAGCTGACAAATGCGAGGTGCAGAGTGCAGTTACCCTCCGGCAGCAGCCGGAGCTCAGGGTGCCGTATAGCTGGTTCGTGATGGATGACGGGACAGTGCATGGGGTGTCGACCCTATCAACGGGTCTCGCACAGGGGACAATAGTCCTGCATCGGCAGCCAGACGGCTTCCACTGGACGATAGCCGAGACGTCGGTAACCTACTCGGACGGCTGGTCGGATATAAAGGTCCTCCACCAAGCTCAACGGGACAATGGCCTCGTCATAGCGGCACATCCCGCCATCCACGGTTTTCCGTGGGTAGTTCCTGACGCTATATCGAATCGCCAAGCGCTAGGTCGTCTGAAAAGACAACCCTACCAGCGGGTTAATGGGGACCTTGGGAAATGGCTCAATGGTGTTCTCCGGTTACAGCAATCGGCGGAACGCAACGAAAGATACTGTGCGGCCCTCAATCAGACACCGAGAGAGTTGTGGCGCCACCGCAACGCGATCACCGAGTATCAAGTGTGGTTTTACTACCGAATGGCGCTGCATCAGCTCAATTAATATAGCCCAGGTCGGGAGCTAAATAACTGCTGTCGAAAACTTTCGGTCTGTCACGGGCAGAGAGAGACTCTGGATCACATCTTTTGGGGTTGTCCAGTAGCCCAGGGTTGCTGGCAGGCACTCATTACCTACTGGACCGGATGCTCGGGGATGCCGATCAGCGTGCAGCATTATGCGAGTTTTTGCATGTCACGAAAGTCCCCGCCGTTACATCAGATCATTTCTCGGCGGCTGCTGAGCGCGTTTGGACATTCGATGGAGGCATATGTATGTCAATGGAAGCGGATGTGGTGGGTATTCTGTTCTATATGTATCACGACGTTATGGGTGCAACACAATCGGGTAGTTCACGAAGGGCATTCCGTCACTTTGGCGGGATGTATCCACGAATGCACAGTTTCAAGTTTTCGGCAATTACACGCGCTAGCGCTGCGAGAGCGTAGACAGCTACACACCCAGGTGGCCGGGACTCGTCTGATGCAATGCATTAGACTGCTCACCATGGCCCTATCTAGAGCACCGCACATAGCGGTGAGTCACGTACAACCACCGGATCATCCGACACCGGCGTTGCTATCCTGGCTTAGGTCTTTCCAGACGTCTTGTACACCATAATATCGTATAATAGACGGTCTGTTCCTCTCTCTCTAACAATATCAGTATTTTCATGGCTACTGAACAATGTTTACTCAAGGCGGAAATGAGGACAGATGATGCAAATAGATCTGAATCATTAACACTTCCCCGGATAAATGGGTGACATGACTTTCACTTTGCAACTATATTACAAGCACTGTAAACGCGAAATTTAATTACCTACCGGCGGTTGCACCTATCCGTAGTTTACAAGCACCCCCAGAGGTGCAACATGAACCGCTTGTATCTGGAATTTTTAGATAGATTCGGCTTTTATCGTTGCAGCGGTACACCGTAAACCTACTAAGCATTTTTAAACCTAATACAAACGCCCCGGCATGCATAAATCGGTGGACTCCCTCTGGCAATAAAGCGCTCCTTAGCAATTTCTTTCCACGCGTTCCCACTATCTGCCTCTCCTTTCCCTGCTCTGCCCACCCAACCCTACTCACTTATGCTTCTCTTTTTATTTCTCCTCTCCTCCTCCTCCTCAGGACGAGCAACCTTAATGTTTTCGAGCTTCCGCGCGCCGCCGTTGAGACCCACGATTAGACCGTTACCCCCTTCTCTCTCTATTAATCTTTTTATCTGTGACTCAAACTCAGTCGCTGTGTCCAGCTTCCTGACAGCTCCTCTCCAGCCCTTCGCCATCTTCTGCATAATTTTACCTCGCTGAGGACCGCATCTCTACCTGAGATGACTAGAAGTATCCTAAGACTTAGTAGTGAGAAAGGGAAAAGAATAGACCGACTTCTGCAAATGTGTGACCACGTCGTCTACTAAGTACAGAACTTCACGGTACGGGCACAAAGGCGTTGTCAAGTCGGTTTGTTAAGGCCATCCACCCAAGGTCAATAAATTTTTTTTTTTGCGGATCCTACGCTCAGTTTTGGACATCTGTGCAATGTAATGTATCTTCAAAACCATGACAATGCTATGCTTTTTATGCAGGTAGAGGCGCGGAATGAGTCGGGAAGAAGTACCAACGACAAGCTGAATGACTCCCTCGCCTTGTATGAGTCACAAGTGAAGTCTCTCTTCAACATGGTGAGCTTTAGTAACTTCTGCGAGGGACACCAAAATGAAAGGAATAGCTCGCCGCCGCCACCGCTACCACGTCCGCCGTGCAGAAGCACAAGGCAAACAAGCCTATTGTCTGCAAAGAGATTTTTGTCCCTGCCGACATGAAAGCCTTTGAGTAATACGATAAGCTACCCTTCCCTCTTGGTCAGAAGTCCCCCAAGAGGGTGGAAGAGAAATTTGACCCGGCCGCCCTTGCGAAAAGCCTAACCGTCATGGCCAGGGCTATAGTCTACGCGGCGCTTCAGGCCAAGCGTAAGGCAGACGCTTTAAAGATAATCTAGGAGGAAAGGATAATAAACTTCGACACGAGCGGTCTTAATAATATCCGGCGCCAGTGTTATTTGCTGGGACAACGTCGAGATTTGCAAGCGCCACAGTCAGGAGTAGTTCAGGAGTGAAGTAGGGAGAAGAACAGTAGAGGCTTTATGTACTTTAAGCTTCTGTAAACTATTCTTGCTTTGCTTACATCTCCCCATGTAGCTACCAAAGATGCTATATGAGATCATCATGTATATGGACGTGCGTGGCGTATAAATGAGAGCGAAAGCAGGTCACGTGCCACGCGTTTACAGTTGACTGTCGAGGGACCGCTGCAGAATTCAGTTTTTAATAAATCTCGCTACATACGGCTGTTGTAACGGGGCACCGGAGCAACTCACTGGACAACCAGTGTGGAGCTACTCTCACCGGCAGCAGTGTGAGTGGCCCCTTGCTATCTCTGTGAGCTTCGAGGAGGAAGGGAACGCAGCTAGGAACCGACTAGTTGCTCATAAAAGTACAACCGTATTAAATATGATTAAGTCCTGATGATCAACCTGTGTTTTGATCCTAACTTGGTTATATTTATCTACAAAAGTGTATGCTAAAGTCTTGTTTACCACTCATTGCGCGCGTCCATCGTTGATCGGACCGCTAGAGCTGGCTGATATGATGACCCACATCAGCCAAAAGTTAAATGTTTTTAAATATTACCCCTTACAGTAATGTGGTAAAGTCACTAATCGAATTTTCGGGACGTGGATCGGTGACCACCCAGTTAAGGCGTCACTTACTGGCGGAAAATGGTACTAAGTGATCCAGCGATCCAATAGGAGATGGAAGATGATCCCAACGGAGATCACCGATCCGATCTAACTGTCGCCAGAATGATGGACGTGGGACGATCTGAGACGAGGAGTAGAAAGGGATGATTTCCATGGAACGATCTGGGACGAATCGCAGATTTAGATGTGTTTCACGGTGTAATCTGGGACAAGTAAGTGAGACGAAGTCATGCAATTCGCTTATATGTTGATAAAGGAGAGTACACTTATATTTGAGCAGGTGAAGACTGAATTGCAGATTTTAATGCAAAAATCTTTGATTCACGAACATGTGGAACGTCATATTGACCGTAATTGGCAACGGTCGTGTATATTGTGGCAGTATTACTCTGGGAAAGGTACATGTGAGACGAGGTGGCGCAATATGACACTGTGACGAAGATTTAACATCCGACAGATCGGTGACATTCTTTACCGGTCTCACAATGAGAGTACTGATTTTGGTTGTTTTAGCCTGATCTGGAAGTGTGAATACCCATGGGAGCCCAGAAATTCATTCTAAGACGTGTGGAGGATTCCATGGACCAGACAAATCATGAAGGGTGATATTGGAGCACGCACGATAAACAGAAGAAATGTATTGCCAAATTGTACCGTGTCGATCCTCAACGATCTCGAATTAGGCATCAGAGCGGTCATAATCCCCGTTGATCATGGATAAATCGCTGATGAGGCTTTTGGATCATGATGAACATGTTTCGTGAAGGTCCACGAGTAATGTCTTAAAAGTTCAGACTGAAATATCCAGTAGAAGCTGGTCCAATTGACGTCACACAATAATGATAGACACATATGGCATTTGGGTACTATTTTGGGCTCTTTGGAATAAAAAATGGAAATTTGGAACCGTATGTGGGATTTGGTCCTCTTTTGGCATTTAGGTACGATATCGGGGATATTGGCACTATCTTTGGAGTACAGGTCATGAAATTTCGACACGTATTCAAGGAGGCGGTCAAGCTTAAAGGTGATATCGGTTTGAAGAGTGACCTACAGTTTGGACTAGGCTTTAAGTTAGTTTGGCTATTAATTTGGCTGGTAAATAAACAGAAGTGAACTCTACTTCTTCTTCTCACGATGTACGTTCTCCTCTTCTCTTCCCCGGGCAAGATTGATTTGGCTTCCCCGGCGGGTCAGGGCACGCGTGTTGCAAGGACACTGACTACAGATCTGGGATTGTTGGCCAAGATCGGGAAGAGCGACCGCGGGAAGTTTGTCCTGGATCGATCTAGTACTCGCTTTCAACTTAACTGCTAGGGTAGCAGCAACAAAGGAAAAAGATTTTGGACACAAGATCGCGAGACGGCTCAAGTGGTCAGAATATCTGGACAAGGCGTCAAGAAGAGACCGCGCAATATTGAAGCGATCTACCTGATAGATCCGCACGTTTCGTTTTGGCGAAACAGGAAACCTATCTGGCTTAATTGCGCTCGTCCGGCAAGATCAACCGATCCCAAGGCAAGATTGACGCATTACTATTATTTGCCGAGTGAAGATTTC